CGAATAAATCGCTCATTAGTTTCTACACTCAAATCCAATAAAATTAGATATACCTAGATTTTTGACTCACGCTACGCTACGGGTTTGATAAAATATATAAAATCATTTAAAAAAATTATTTTAGTTTAATAATATGTTTTATGATGTGAATCTATAACAATATATAAAATCAAAGGTACAAAAATAATTATAATTTTTTAATCAAAAATTTTGTATTTAACTATTTTTTATTTGTGTTTTTCATATTTTTTTCTTTATAAAAAGGATTTATCCTCATTAATCCATGGATTATTAACTAAAAATAAAATTAAATAATTTTTTAAAAAAGCTTTAGCATTTTATAAGATTGTGTAAAAAAAATAAATAAATAACAATTACTAAAATCTTACATAGAATTGAACAAATATATATATTTTTTTTCATGTTGATGAGAATGTTGACTTTTTTAAAAAATGTGAATTTAATTTTTATTAATTGGATGAATAATATTAAAATAAATCAAAACTATGAGTAAATATAATTTTAAATTAATTGAATGTGAATTTAAAAGAAATGAAAAATTAATGAAAATAGTAATAAATGACAAACTATGAGTAGTAAAATTCTTTATTATAATATATGTACTTTTTTTTTTTTTTGAGAAATACAACTTATGTAATTGTTGATTAATAAATTATGTTATGTGATAGTATGTGCTTATAGAAATAATTATTTTTTGAAAAAAAAATTATTTTTTTCAAATTAGATATTTTAAACTTTAGAAATAAATAATAAAGGAAATAAATTGTTGGTTCCTTTAAAATTTTAGCACCCAATTAATTGTTGGTTCCTTTAAAATTTTAACGCCCAACATTATTCAAAAATGGAAATTTAAAAAAAAAAGCGTTCACTTTTCAAAAACGGAAAGAAAAAAATAGTCACACCAAAAGAAAAATTAGATATTTTAAATTTTAGAAATAAATAATAAAGAAAATAAATTATTGGTTTCTTTAAAATTTTAACACCCAATTAATTTGTTGGTTCCTTTAAAATTTTAACTCCCACCATTATTAAGAAACGAAAATTAAAAAAAAAAGTTCAATGTTTAGGAAAAAGGAGGGGGGCAACTGTTTAATGTTCATGTGAACAATAAACGGAAGAAAATGTTTTTAAAAAATGTTCGAGTGTTTAGAAAGAAAAAAAGGGGTGGGGGGAGTCGTTTATCGTTCAAATGAATAGTAAATGAAAAAAAAGGGAAACAAGGCCAAGGGGCACTAGCAAAAAAAAAATGAAAATTTTAAAAAAATAAAGCACGAGTAATGAATAGTGTTAATCACTATTCATTACCGTTCCTTTTACTCGTTCATTGCTATAGTGAAAAATTATTTTATTTTAGTTTATAGTATAATTTTATTTATTTCAAGTCAAATTGAATAAAAATCCGATCCTACGAGATTGAATGACACCAAACACCCTACGGATCAAGTGGAATTGCCACATATACATAATTCTCGAAGCATTCATAACTCAAAGCTTCTTGGTTAGTTTATATGAATGGGAACTAAGACAACCATAATTTTGGTTTTTATTTTTTTATCAAAATTTTCATTTCAATTCCTATAATTTAACAAATTTTCATTTGAGTTCTTGTACTTTTAAAAATTATGGATTAAGTAGATCTACTTTGAAAATAATATTCTCATGACTATTTAAACTATTATCGTACTAGGAATATTTTGAAGTATAAAGTCTGTGTTTGTTTGGGAGAAACCAAGTTCCGGGAAATTGTTTTCCTCATTTTTCGAGTGTTTGTTTTGCGTTTAGGAAAAAATTCAACAAAAAATGATTTCTAGTCAACGAAAAATGATAAAGTATTTTTGAGAAAAATTTTTTCCAGCTTTAAAAAGAAGAAAACATTTTTCTTCTCGCTCTTGCGTTACTTACCTCTCTCTTGATATATTTTAACAATTTTTTCTCTATCTTCTTTTTATTTAAAATATATCAAATTAATTTTTAATTATTCATTATCAATTATTATTTATTATTTAATTATTTTTTCTCTATTTCTACTAATATTTAATTTTTTGATTTATAGATACATTAAATATTCTTAAAAACTATTTTTACACCTTAAAATTATTTTTATAATAACTATTTTAATAATTTATCTTTATTTTTTTTCTATTATCTCAAACACTACTTACACTATACTTAAATGATTGAATGATTATTAAAAGACTGTAATTTTTTATAAAAAAATTGAAATTACTTAATTCATTAATAAATATATTATTTTTCCAATACTATTCATTTGCAACTAAATATATAATTTGTAATTTTAGTTAGTTGTAAAATTTTATTAGTAATTATAGTGAATAATTAGTTACAAATTATTCCAACATTAATCTTTTGAAACCAAATGAATAATTATCTACAAATGATAACTAATAATTTATAAAATTATTTTTTAGACTAAATTATCAGTTCAATTTCTATTAAAAAAAAATCTTAATTGAGTTATCAAAATAACAATGCTAGGGATGCTTATATATATATTGACTTGATTTTGTCATAAGTAATTTTGATGAATTGATTTGATGGTTAAAAAAGGACATTTTATTTTTTTGAATTAAAATTTTAGAGTCGGCATTTATAAAAAATTATTAAATTTTTCTAAATGTATCTTATATTGTGAAATTATGAATATGTCTTTTTGAAGTTTTTTCAAAACTTGTTAATGCAATAATAACATATTGTTTTTGTATTTTAATTTTCCGTATCAAACAAACATTAGAATATATTTTTCAACAGACTTTTTCATGTAATTGTCAAAAGACATAAAACATTTTTTGGAAAACAATTTCTAAGAAAATAACTTTCTCGGAATTGATTTTTCTATAAAAGTTGTTTTCCGCAAACAAACGGAGTTTAAGTAGAAATTGAAGGACCCATCGATCTACATGAACTAAGATAAAATAAAATAAACTAATTGAAGTACAAAAACCTAATAGAAATTTTAAGAAAAAAAAAGAGACTCTAAAGATATGGTTATATCACTAGATTGATATGATGCTTTGCTTACATGTGCTCAAAAAGAAAAACAATGAGGAAACATTGTTGTACTATCTTTTGAAGATATCATTTTCAAATTATACCAATGATGTGATGTTGCATATAAAAGGCTACATTTTGGATTTTTTTTTTATAAAAAAATTCAAATTATGCCCATAAAAGGCTACATTCTACGTTATGTTTTAACGAGACTAGAATGTAATGTGCAATGGGCTTTTAGCCCTAATTTTTACCTTTCCAAATGGGCCCCAACGACCTAATGACATATTAGGTGAGAGATTGAGTTTTATTTCGGCCTTCAAATCACCTCTCTTGGGACTTGATTAGAAAAAACCCAAATAATCAAGCACGTAAATCAAGATAAAAAGATAATTTCATAAATGAATTCCACTAAGCTAGAAACACAAGGTAAGCTCCTTGCGAGGGCACTTTAGGGTGATTATGGTCTTTCCCGGTTATGTAATCAACTCTTTTACTTAAAACTTTTGGGACAAGTGCTAGGTTTTTTTTAGTTTTTCCTTTTTTAGAAATTGAGTGGCGACTCCACATTTACACTTTATGCATATATATTTATTTTTGCAATCATCGAGACGTCACCGTGTGACGGTTCGTGAATCCAAAGATTCTAGTATTTAGACTATGAATTTTCATTAAAAATAAGGCACTAAGGTAATGTCGCTTACTTGTCGCTATTATTTTAGTTAGTCACACTTACACTTACACACACGCTCTTACACTTACAATTATAGTATATATAGTGTGGAATCACCTGGAATAAACATAAATCCAAATACCGTTGTACCTTGTTGGGTTTTGAATTTGTTGGAAAAAAGAAAGGAAGAGAATCAATTTTTTTTTAGGCAATTCGATCTTCGATAGTTAGTTCCCCATCTATTACAACATTGTGGTCGGGTAGAAAGAGCAAGGGCTAAGAATGATCGGCCAAAAAAAGCTTGTGGATAAAGGCCCTAAGGCCCTATTCGGAAAAAAAATTCAATTTTTAATCAAATTAATTAAAAATTAAAATTGAAATTTTAGTTTCTTAATTGAAATATCAAATTTCAATTCGATTTGGTTTCGGTTTTTAATTCTCATAATTCGATTAATCGAAAATCGAATTAAAATGGTTAATAACCAAACCGAATAACCTTTGATCGTCCAAATTTTTTGGGTGCACAACATGGTTGTGCCTAAATGCATAATGAAAACAACATTGATCAAACATTTTTTAATAACTCCATTTTAGTTTTTTTTTTTTTTAACACGTAACACAAATTAATAGTTGGTCATAATTTTTATTGCCCTTATGTTTCTATTATTTTTCGATAAAAAAAGTACAACCTTGATTTAAGTGCATAAATAGAATACTATAATTAAAGATAGCTATAAGTACCAAAGCACACAAAAATTTAATCTTTTGCACTTGCTTTGAAAAAAAAAACTTTGAACATTAGGGAAAAAAGGATAATCAAGAATAATGAATAAAGAATTCATAATTTCCAAGAACAAATGGTTTGATGATGTATTGAATCCGTCCATTATAATGGAAATCACCCGAAATAAATAAATTAAATTTTGTTCCATGTGCCCTCGTACATTTTATATAGCATTTTTGTGAAGAAAACTGAGAACGAAAGGGAATGGTGAGTTGGACACGTGTCTACTTAAGAGGACAGAATCATTAATGATAAAAAAAACCGTTGAAAGGACAACGGATGTTCAATAAATAATCGCTTTCAATTCAATAACTTGACATGTTGAAATTGCCACGTTTTAAATTTCTCAAATCATAGTAACCACCAACTATGATTGACTGATATTTTATTACAACTTGGGTCAGGTCAAGGACAACGAGGCAAGAGCTGGTTTTTTGCCTCATTTTTACTTGAAATTTCCCTTTACAAAAGCAAGAAATTGAAGTGTTTTTTGTTGTCTCTGATCTGGTTCCAATGGAGGGTCAATCTGATTCCTTTAAGGATATGAAGCAACGAGAAGGTATTGAAGTGAAAAAGGAGCAAGAGATTACTAATTGTAGCGTTGAAAATATGGGATCTTGCAAGGAAGGTGCTGATTTGTTGGAGACAAAGGGGGGTCATCATCTTTCGACACCCAGTTCCGGGTATGACTCAACTCTCCTTCTATTAACCAGAAAAAGTTTCTGTTTTTGGTTAGAAGAAGTCTTAATTTTTGGTTTTTTTTTTGTTAGCTTAAAAAAGGAAACAATGGGAAAATAGAAGGTGGGATCTGTTTAATTTGTAAAGAAATGTTGGTTATGAAAATTAAAAGCTAAATTAGCGAAGAGAAGTTAGAGAATTAAATGTTACTATGTTGTGGTGCTTGAATGGGTTTGCTTGTTTAGGATTTTTGGAGTTTCAGAAGAGGAAAGAACTTGTTGTCTGTGTTCATATATGGTGCTCTTGTTTCCCTAAATTGTTCCATTATTTAAGGAGTCTGAAAAATTTTCCTTCGATTAAATTATTGTAGCACAAGAAAGTTGTATAATACAGGAATAACGTAGAAAGATAAATGTTGAAATTTTGCTAGCAATTAGAGAAAGAAGCGACACAAGTGATCATACAAGTTACTCGTCTAGCCAGACCAAGAAGAGCACCATGAAGTTACACATTTTTTTGTGACCTGCAGCTACAAATTCAAAGATGCTTTCTTTCATTTAAGCACGAATTTCCAAGCAAGGATACTTGCATCAAATATCGGCAATGAAAATGTTTTTTCGAAAATGAATTAAAGTGTAGGGAAGAGATGCAAACCACCCCATCTTGAAGTAGCTTGTGAATAGAAGTTCTGTCATTTTCCTCATTTATTTTCCATGATACCTCAATTTTGAGCAGTAGTGCAAAGGCAAAAGTTTGTGAGTGAGATGAATCTGGATTATTATGCTCTGGATAACTAATTACTTTATCAAAATCTGTGTTTTTTGTTGTCAAAGTGGGAAATTTTAGATCAGTGTGCTTTCACTCATGTTAGGGTGTTTGGATGCTAACAAGTTACAAGTAACATAACTGCATAACTTGAAAGCAGTGAATAGCTATTGCAAGACTTGAAAAGATTTCTCTTATACTACCTTCATATAGCTCTTTTTGACATAAAATTTTTTGCTTAAAAATCCCACTTTACAGAAAAGAAGTATTTGTGCACTTAAAAGATTACTTCCTGAACCGCTTCTTTAAGTTTGGAGTAAGGCTTCTTTGGTCATGGGCCCTTTGAATGAGAAGGGGGTGAAAGTTGCTTTAATGTTACAAGTGCTGACGCAAATAGTATCAGTCCATCAATACTAATTGTATATCATGCATAGGTCCTTTCGTGAGGCAATGCTAACTGGCCCTTCCTTTTCCTTTTCCTTTTCTGTACGGCTATTAGACTTGAGGATGCTACTGAATCCTTTGTTGCATTCTCCTAGATCTTCTTGTTAGATTAATGTGATTTTTAATAATTGTCAGATCAAGTAGCAACAAAAAGTAATCACAGCATTCTTGTCAAATAGGAATGCCTAAGCTTCTTATTAGCCAGCTATGACTGTTTTTTGTTCTGTAAGAGATGGAGTGTGTTTTTGTGTATGCTATGTTAACACTCCTAAGTTGCAGAACTGCAAGTTTAAGTCTGAAGGTAGTTGAGTATCTGATTTTGTGAGTCAGCAATTGCACGGAGAATTCTTTGCTTAATCTAGATTAATTCGGTGATCAGTTGAAAACTTTGTTCACATATGTTTTTACACCATTTTTCTCATATCCACTGGGTAACCATCTTTCTAATATCTAAGGTGGGGCTTTATTCACCTTACAAGTTTGACTACGTTCAACATAGATTTATGGAGACATTAGTGTGGAAGAGGGATTGAAAGATCTGATATCACAATATCTTTTCAAATAAACTAGAAACTAGGATTTGTGTATTTAACCCCAACCGATTTGGTATTGATACAAGTTGAATTCTTGCAGCTACTTGCGTCGAAGTTGTAAATATTTGCTCTATATTCCATTATTTCTGTGCATCCCTATATTTCACCCCGTTCTCTTTCTATTCAAGTCTCTCCACCCCCGTAAAAACATTTATTGTGGAATCATCTTACTCTTTCTTTGATAGATATACTTCCAATATTGTTAATTGAAAAAAAAAAAATTGCTTTTAGAAGTCATTTAAATGGTAGATACATGCCAGACAAGTTCAACATGATGTAATGACTTACCTTTGGTTTCTTAAGGCCCACAAAACTGGTGACTTCTGGACCAAATGCCACCGTTCCTGCTCCGGATCAGCTTACCATCTTCTATGGTGGAAGTGTTGTTGTGTTTGATGCAATTCCTGCAGAAAAGGTTTTCCCTCACTGGAACTTTCAAGACTTTAGTAAATTTCTACATGGGAGATTTCATTCTAACTCTTAGCCGTGTCCATTTAGGTCCATGAAATTATGCTTATTGCTGCAGCTGCTGCAGCTTCTGCCAAACCTGGTGACATGAAGAACAGTGGGTCTCCTGCTAGTACACCAGTTCTTACAAGGTCTCCTTCAATGCAAAGTACTGCTGCACCTCAAGCCCAATCCTTTAGTCGTCAGAATTCCTTCTGTAGAATGCAGGCTGGTAATGGTTACAGAGCATGCTGAAATGCTTTAGTGTTGGATTTCAAATACTTTATTGCTCTTTCTCTTCTATGATGAAAGAAATTAGATATAGCTTCATGATTCTCATTGTAATTCATTTTTTTTTTTTTTTGGTCTAGAATTACCCATTGCTAGGAGACACTCCCTGCAGCGATTCTTTGAGAAGCGACGTGACAGGTACCTGTTTTGCATTTTGGGATTCTCTGGCTGTCTGTCTCATCTCTCATGCTTTAAAACAACATATACACATGTAACTTCATGATTTGCACCATTGTATTTGGCATTGCTAGGAGACACTATGCTCCTATGCGTTTAATGGTTACATGATGCACAAAGATATCATCAGGACTGCTAAGACCTTTCATTTTTACTTTGTTAATTGCAGGTTGGTGAGCAAAAGCCCATACCCCACTTCACCAATAGGAAAAGAGGCAGACACCACAAAACCTGGTGACAGTGCTGCACCTTTACCAGATGCAGGTTGCTTTGGAAAACCTCTTGCATCAGAGGAACTTCAGTCGAAGGTTGCTGGCAACCTTGCTTGACCAATGCTGAAAGCTTCTCATCTATCTTGGAAAACCGTTATTTCATTAGGTTCCTAACCTTGTTGTATTAACACGTGCAAGATGTCAACTGCGGTGGTGGTGATGATGTTTTAGTTACTTTGGGATGTATTGGACAACATGCACAATTTCTCATTGAAACTAATGGGATTTTGTTCACATGACTGCCCCTTACAGCCTAAGGCACTTGGAATGTCTTCTGAACCAGCGCCTTTAGGACGATTACTTGTGTTATTATTAACTGTCGTAAACAAATAACAAACGATTGATGTGGTTTGCTTGTTAATGGAACTTCTCTAGTGTTGTGCTGGCTATTGTAATACTATTCTTAAGTAAATTATTCTGTATTGTAGTTTTAGTCCATATCACAGGTCTTTAGAATTATTTGTCAAGGATCTTTAAGACTGGACATGCAGAGTGAACGGTGGAGAATCGCATCAGATGAAAACCCTCTCGTGTTCTTGACGAAGATGCAGCCACAATCCAATTTCGTGCACATTTTCCTTATAATTTTGACTTTTCTGTGAACTGTCAAAGCAATCCTAGGTTGTAGCCTCAAGGCCCCCAGCGACCTCTAGCAAAGCCCCTCTCCGGTGTCCTACTGGGAGAACCAGTCAGAGACTTCCCAGTGGGTGATTGCCAGTGCCAGGATCAATCACAGGATGCTTTCTCTGTTCGTTTATCCTACCATATCCAGTTTCTAAATGAGGTTGATTTGCTGGTTCCGATCCACACACCATTGTTCGTATTCCTTGGACCTGTTTGTAAAATCGCTCGGGCAGTGTTAGCCTGATTCCTGCTCCTCTCCTTACCCATCGCTGTTGGCTTTCTTTGCCCTTCAATCTCAAAGAGCTCTGATGCCTACAGAAAAGAGCAACCGGAGTAACGGGGTTTAGCTCTTGCTCTTGCCCAGTGGCTTTACTAAAAGTTGGAATTTGCTTTCCAATACTTCATGCAATATGAATAAATAAGTCATCTCTACGAGTTTGGGGGACGGTTAGATTATGGAAAAATAGTTTCAACACAGAAGCTCCACATTCTAAACAAAAACTTGTACATGCCAAAACATTCTTTTGACGAGGCCAAAAGGAAAACCTAGAGACATTGAGATTAGTGACACTATGAAACAGCCGGATATCGGACTTGGCCGTGACCTCCATTGTTTCTCCTCATTGCAAACCGTTGCCAAGATAGTGAACAAAATAAAAGCAAAGGGTGCCCCAGTTATTTTGGGCAGGACTTGTTACTCAACGATAGCAACAATATCATTTACAATTAAGTTCTATTCTCCACGTACAGTCTCTCCTTTATGCTGTACAAGTTGGAAGCATCAACTACAACTAAAACAGAAATGCAGTGTTGTTACCTTAAGCCTAATCCTGCAAAGGAGAAAAATGTGAAGATGACAGGAGTAAACAAATCCCCGATGAAGGATTCTGATGCTAAAAAAGCAAGGGCAACTGGAGTAATGGGGTTCTTGTTCCTGCCCATTGGCTTTACAAGTTGGAAGTTATAGAGCAATTTCCAATACTTCATGCAGTAAGGATAAATATGATATCTCGGAGTAAGCATAAGGTTATATTAAATAGAAATAGCTGCATGATCTATTCATAAAAAGTTCCAAAACAAAAACTCCACATTAAAACAGAAACTTATACATGCCAAAACATTCATTTCAACGGACCCAAAGGAAGAACAAGACACTGACACCACTTACACTGAGAAACAGCCAAATATCTAATTTCCACTGACCTTATGTCTCACTATTACAACTAGCTAGCTCAATTCAATGCATACTGCGAAGGATTCCATGAAGGTAGCCACCAGTCATTATGAGAGACACAAGAGACACCACACCAGCAGGAAAAATCTTCTTAGACTTCAAAAAACGGGAGCCCATCACTCCCATAAGCGCAGCAGATATACCTGAAAATATAGAGATGCCAAAGCTGTTAAATAAAATAAAGTTACAACTTAATGGCAAGATGGACCAAGCAAACCACTGGTTTTGGCTAATGCTTGCATTAAAAAGTAAAGAGCTCTCATACAAGCTAACACTTTCATCACTTTCTACATTGATACAGCCCACCTATAATCAAAATTCAAATGCCATATATGAAGACTCAAATTCAGGAACTCCCAGTCAAAATCACAAGATTCACCACAAAGCTGGAATGTTTAAAATGATTTGATCCCTCATAAATTAACCAATTAAGACTGTGATGTAAAATTGAGATGGAATAATAGAAGCCATTAGATTATAAATCCTTAGCAAAATCCCAACAACTTCAACATTCTCTTAAGAAATCAAATTCCAATAACACTAAGGAGGTGTTTGATAACCTAATTAAGTAGCTTAAAAAATTAAGTTGTACTACTTAATATAAAAATCTTATTTGATAACTTAAATGATCTCATATTAAAACTTTAAGTTCAGTTAAAATCTACTTAATCGGATAAGTTAAAATTTTTAACTTATCCGATTAAGTCAAACTATCTAAAACATACTCTCTCTCTCTCTCTCTCTCTCTCTCTATACATATATATCAGAATTTATAAATTATAATAATATATTTTGAAAAATAAAATACTCATTTGAAAAGCATAAAAATAATTAATTATATAAATTATAATAATATATTTTTTAAAAATAAAACATCGACGTTATAAAATTTTATTTCAAAATTCATATATTAAAAAATCAAATTTATTAACAAATAAAATTATATCAAAAATTAATTTGATAAGAATTTTAGTAAGAAAAATAATTGAAAAAAATAAATTTTAAACAATAAGAGTAATATAATCAGATACATATATTCAAACTAAAATCTTAAAAAATATCAAATATATTCTATCATCTTCAAACAGACTTATTATATTCAATACTTAATTTTCAGTAAATATCAAACAGCTTGTCGGGAACATATTCAGTACTTAACAGATTCAGCACTTAATTTTCAGTTTTATCAAACACCATCTAACTGAAGATTGCGAATCTTAAATACTCCATTGACAAAAAAAAAAAAATAGTGCAAAATATACAACTACTAGCCAGGTGCAATACTTTAATGCACAAGTTTAACCAAAATTATAACAAAAAATACACGAAACAGAAAAGCAACAAAGCAAATACCATAAAATAAATAACCACACTCTTACCAAGCCCTATCGATGATGCATAAACCGGATTCGCAGGAAGCTGTGTATAAACATAATACAGAACCGAGGCAGAAATTCCTCCTGCCAACAGCGATTTCTGGCTACCACTTTTCATATATCCCATAACACCACCCACTATCACAAAAATCAATCACGCCATAATCAGATAAAACTTGCTACACGGCTAAATCAGCATAATTACTACAAAAATTGGAAACGCATTATTCATCAATATAATTTACTACTCATGAATTCAATTCCTAAAGACCTAAAAAAAAAGTCTTTTTTCATTTCGAATTCATTGCATATAAAATTCACAAAACTAACATTTCCATCTCCAATTTAACTGTCAGTAATGACTAATCGTCAACAAAAGAATAAAAATCATGAACTGAAAAAAAGAAAAGCTCTTTTAACTGTAAAAGAGAGAGAGAAAAGATCTATACTTCCAACAAGAGCAGCATAACCAAGAGTCAATTTTTGAGACATAGACAAAGCCATTGTCTTTTTACATCCACTCTCGTCTGCCGATCCTCCTTCTCCTTCGTTTTTACCACCACCGTCACCTCCTCCTCCTCCTCCGCCGCCGCCGCTAGTATCTTTATAACCGTCGTTACCTCCGCCTCCGGTGTCCAATTCAATCTCGATTCCTTCAGTTGACAAGTCAACGTTGTCAGTAATGATGGTACTTGAAGAAGACGAGGTCGCTATGGAATCAGAAGAGACGACTTTAGCAGCGAAAACGAAATTGTGCTGCTTTGGCTTGGGAGAGGAAATGAGTAATCTTGATGGAGTCGGAGGCAGGTGAAGGCGCAGGGATGCTGATGGAGTTGCGAGTGTATGGAATCCGAATTTGGAGGGTTCGAGAAGAAGTGAAGACTGAGATGCTGTTACACCTAACGCTATTTCTGCCATTTTTCCTTTTGTTTCACTACTGCTCTACTTCGCTTTGATCATTTTTCAGGCTAATTTTGTCCGTAGGATTTAGTTATGGAATGTACAACAAGTACAGCCCAGTCCACTCCATTTCAGGCCCAGTTCGATTGAACCCAACTCAAATGACTGAGTGATAAAGAATATATTGATACTCTTAGGTAGGTCTACAGACCCACTTTTTGCCCTCTCACATTTTAATTACCATATGTACCCTCAAGCAAGCCAAGTTAAATTTTGTTTCTAAGAATCAATTAATTTTTCCATTAGAAAAGAGTACCAAATCGAAGTGTGTAGCGTTTGGGAGTGAAATGGATCAATGTGGTTTGTGTTTTTCAAGCAGCTTGTAGAGCCAATACAACAATTTCCTTGCTAAGCATTAAATAATCTAGAAATCACATGGTAGGTTTTTAATATTGTGGTGTGAAATATGAGTTATATCTTGTTGGTAACCGTAAATTTAAAAATGATGGATTTACAAAAATTAAATTAAAGAAATAACATTTACCCTGCAAAGAAAGTAAACTGATGAGAAAGATCTAAAAAAAAAAAAATATTATAGAAACTAAAATTCATGGGTCTTTTGAACAATAAATAATGTTGAAAGATTACTCATGGGCCTAAAAATATTATTTACTTTGTGGCAATTTAAACAATTTTTAAGTGTAATTTTTTGTATATCTTGGACATTGATATGTAAATTTAATACTTTTTGTATTTTATTTTCATCCTTTATGTTGTAAATTTTTTTTCAAACCACAACTTTATTTTTCTTTTATGTTGGTCCCTACATGCTAGGAGGAGAGAGAATGGAGGGGAGGGAGAGAGAGATGGTGAGGCCCATTCCAGCCATTCCGATGGTCAAGCTTACCGTCATTTTATTCGGCTCAATGAGTAAAATTCGTTTGTGATTATGGCAAATGATGAAATGATCGGAGAAGAAAGATCGAGATCTAAAAAGTGCATTAAAATAAGTTTTGAGATTCTAAAAGAGTTTTTTTTATGTCATTTCTATGATTTTAAGGTTTCTTAGACAAAAATATGATCGAATTTGGTTTTGAGATGCCAAAATTAAGAAACCCAACTTTTCGAGCAATTTTTTCATCGAAATCAAAATCGTTAAAAATTACGAGAGGTCGTAAAAAATTCAAAACTTTTTTTTTTTTTTGCCTAAGCCCGGGCATGCGGCACTGGTGCTCCGGACCCAAACGTGCGAACTTGGTTCTTCGACTTGAATCTTTCTATTAATTCTTGTTGTTTATATTTTGATAGAATTAGATATAAGTCCATATGATATGCATTGCATTAATGATTGATAGGAAGATATGAGACAAATATTAATGCACCTAAATGATATCATTAAATATCTTAAGCCGTAACATTTTCAAGAATGGATATTGACTATATGTGATAAGACTTGTGAGAGCTATGCTCATTCTATAAGATAGCGAGTAGGAGATCTCACATTTATTAGCATGGTGATATCAAAGCAAGCACTTAGATTATTAATGTTAGAAAACATATCATTAGACGTGACTCATCGTGAGAACCCATTTGGTTTAGTCTATAGGAATTTCATACAAAATAGATATAATTGATCTTTTGACTTAAAGTCATTACGGTTATCTCATTACAAGATTTATTTACTTTGACACTCGTTTTGATGGGCTCGATAAAGAGCTTTATATGGGTGATTCATTGGGTACGCTAGGAATCTAATGGAGATAGGTGGATGATTAAGATATGACATGTCATTCTTTATATGTTAAAGGAGTTATCACATTGTACTTCGATAAATGTCTACTAAAAAATTCTATAGTCACGGTGGGAGTATACTAATAGAACATAGTTGGTTTACTTTATAGCTAAGATATTTGGGAATCGAAGAAAACTTGTATGGTTATAATCGAACAAACTTTAAACCAAGTTTGAGATCACACTACGATAAATTGATACGAGGACTAAATTATATGATAATCATACTCGTGATAGGTAATTGGAGATTAATTAATCCTCCTAAAGAATTGGGTAGTTATGATGTCTTGCTTGGAGAGCAATCTTGATTGATGTATTAAGAGATAAAAGAGATATTTTTTATTTTTGATATATTGCCAACATATCTAAGAGTTTACCGAGTCACATGTATAAATTTAAGCATTCACATAATAAAAGAGAAGTAAATATTTAGAGAAAGATTTCCAGTTTGAAAGTTTTTTATTTTGGAAAAGGTTTTCGAAAATAAAAAGTTTTCTATTTTAGAAATGAGTTTCTTAATTTAAAAGTCGATTTCAAATTAGAAATTAGTTACCTAAAATGAAAATTAGTTTCCAAATTTAGGTTTAAGGGTAATTTGAAAAATTATTTCCTAATATGGACTTCACTAAAATACTTGACCCAATTTATTTGGATGGTCCAAATTAATTGATAATTAATTAGACTAAAAAGGTGTAGGCCAATAAGCTTAATTTAAAAATCTACAAGATATTTTGATGGAAAGATAAACTTGAGCTCTATTAGATAAGATTTAGGGTTTATAAGGATAAAATCAAACGACTCCATATATGTTACAACTCCTTGTCCTTAGAGGACAAGAATGCCGCCCCTTATATAAATAAAGGGGAGAGAGGCGACAAGGGAAGGCTAAGAAAAGCAAGCAACACACACACAAGACAATAACAAAAGAAAAAGAGAGAAAACATTTCCTAAAAAAAACCTAAGTGGTCACATCCCTCCCCGAAAGTCTAAGTTGTTGTAAAAAATCCCGAGTGATTTCTTTAGAAAGAAAATTAACTATACAAAAGGATTGAAGCTAGCACTCTACGATTTACGTGGCTTCCTTTGTGAGTGTTTATGTTGTATGGATTATTAATAGAGGCTAAACGCTTGGACGATTCCCTTTCACTTGATTGTTTTTCGCACTACAAGAGATAATCTTTTACCCATATTTACATTCATGTTAATATATGATTAGTTGATTCAATAATATGATCTTAGAAACCTTATATGAAAGAAAATTAGTATATTATTACGCACATATATAGGATACATAATCCTTCAATTGGTATCGGAGATTCCGTTGAATCTTTAATTGTATGTTGACTTAATTATGATTAACTATATGATTTGATATTTTTAATTATAAATCTAGGGTTTTGGTATTTTATAATTATTTAAATGATTTTTGAGCTGAAAAAAAAGGTGGGAGAGCGCGAGGCCAATGATGGACGTTACACTCACGTGAGCGATAACCCCCGAACTAGGCACATGCTTGGTCATACACCAAGCCCGAGCATGCCAAGCGCAAGCTAGACGTGTACTCGGGCATGCACGAAGCCAAGCCGAGCCCGTGCAAATCCAAGCTAGGGGTGCATTGGGCCTATGGCCGAGCTAGGCATGTGTGGCATGTGCATTAGGCATGCTCGAGCCGGACGCATATGAGGCATGCACTCGGTATACATAGGTCGAGCATACACGGGCGCGTTAGGCCACTTGTAGGTCAAGCGTGCTAGTAGGCATGCTAAGCTTATGGTAAAACCAAGCATACGTTGAGTGCTCATCGGACTTGGGGTAAGGCCAAATACGTGTTAAGTGCGTGCAAGATCGGGTGTGTCTCGTGCATGCCAAGTGCGCATAATAATGCTAGACACCTAACCAAGCATGCGCGAAGCATGCCACGAAGCACATGAACGTGTCGGACCGGTGCTTGGCATTGGCCAATGGCTAGTGCCAAGCCAATGGTAGCTACTGGCCAATGCTAACTAGGGTGTGGCGACCTATGGGTCCAAAGTGGGCCCAAGCCATGAAAAGTCCGAAAATTAAAATTTAGAAAAATTTTGATATTGTTTATAAAATAACCAAAACCATAGTTTTATAATTATGTTATAATGAAATATGTTTCATTTGTAAGCCTTATATCAATGTGATTGAAATATGGGTGAATAGTATGGATGAGTCGGCCTAGTTTTTTAGAATGTATGTTTGTAAATTTTTAGTTAAATAAAGCCTACATGTCCCGCCTTCTCTATCATTTTGAATTATTTTTCTTTTCATCTTACTCCCCTCGAATGTAATTTGAGGTTTCTTATTCAAAGAAATATAAAAGTAAAAGATAATATTTTAGAATAGATATAAAGAAAAAAAGCTAAGAAGAGAAGACAATCTTGAAAATTTTATAATAATTTTTCACTCAAGTACTTGACCCACTAGTCTCCTTATGACTTGAGAGGATTGGTAGTAAAGATCTATTATCATTCACTAATCCTAAAGTCATACATGAGATGTATGTATTTATTTTGTGATTGATAATTTACATGATATGATTAATGCAATTGATAACTAGTGTGCATGTTAGGATAAGACCTATCATATTAAATCCTTCAAATTAATATCAAGTTAATTGTATTCTAACGTTATGAGGAGAGAACCCTTTTAGTCATTGTTGGCTTGTTAAGATAACTCAATGTCACATCTTCCTCGAGAGAATTAAATCATGGGTTATGTGATGTTCTCGAACGTTTGGGTCCAACTTGAGATGAATTATTAGGCTTATTGAGATAACTCAAGGCCTATTAAATTTATAGGTAAAGATTGATATTCATATAAAATGTGAGATAATAAGCAATTGTCGGGCCAATGAGATTAGGAATTGTATTGGATGCAATTGATAAAGAGTTACCTACTTAATCCTTTATGTATGACTTGTTGAGATAATTTAAGGTTAATGCATATTAGAGGATGGGATCCTAACCCATTAAGAAAAACGAATCGAAATTTTTTTCTCAAGTCTTATGTTGAAGGTTATAAAACTTTAAAAAATTAATGAAAGTAAACATAGATTTTATTTCTTAATTTATGTTTTATTTTATTTATGCAATTCAATTATTAAATCGTATGTTTTTCTATCCTATCAAATTGTACGAGTATGACTAGCAACATATCAATACGATCAATTATTGATGAAAGTAATGCCTTCAATGGCATAA